CCACCACAGCTTCAGCGCCTCCTCCTCTTACCACACCTCCTCCCTTCTCGCCTTCTCATTCTCCACCATATCCGTTTTCCAGTTTTATCGTCGTCATCAATGAACCCGATGCAATCACATCCTCTTCTGAACCCGCGCCAATCTTCCTCTCACACGGGTGTTGATTCTGATAGTACGCAAGGCGACGGTGCTCGCTGGACGCGCGGTAGTCCGCGCTTCTCTACCGAGAGAGCTGCAACTCGTGATTATATAGAGGGCACGGTGCTTGCTGGGGCGTATCCTTCTCTACAACACGAGGAGCTGCAAAACTCGTGCTATAGAGGGCACGGCGTCGCCTTTCTCTTCCGGGCGCACGCTCACAATCCCAGCTGTTCTCCCTATCAGCCCTTCTGTCTATTCTCTCAACTCAGTCCACCTTCTGGTAGCCGCGGCAGGCTGTGGGAGTCGCCATCCCATCCTCACCACACGCAGCTTCTGCGGCCTCCTCCTAACAGCAACAAGAGTGTCGGTCGTCTCAATCCCGCGCGCGTCTGCACGTGTGGACAAACTGCATGGCGTCATGCATCAACGCTTAGTTAACTTGCGCCCACCGCGGTACTCGTGACGTTGGCCGACCGGTCTTGCCCGCGCTGAGATAGAGCGTGCCTCGGCATAGCGCGTCGGAACTGTTTGCTGTAGATATACCGGCGTACCTGTCTGTCGGCAATACAACAAACGGAACAGATACCGTCTTCGAATCTGGCACTCCATTCGATTACCAACGCCTGCAAAAAGAAGACGGAGGTCAGCAACTGGAGACTATAGCACGCCTATGGCTGTCAAAAATCAATTATATTTGTAGTGCTGGTGACGACGGCGGTGGCGGCAAATGTTATTAGGGGATGGGTACAGCGCGAACGTATACATGTGCCAATGACAATGACTGCTGGGTGAGGAAGAATCGTTCGCTACAGTTAACAGTTGTCACTGAATGCAACTACGTTGTGGCAGCTTCCTGTGGTCGCCCCTAGCAATGCTGAAGCATTGGTGCGGCCGGCTCATACAGCCGACAAAGCTGTGGGAGGTACTGCAAGTGAAAAGGTATAGTGGCACGCCGAGAACTGCATGTGAACTATATAGACACCGCGTGCGCCTGCACGCGCTGCCGCTATCGCACATATGAATGCCGATCACTTTATCGCCACAATGGCCAGTGCTTCACGCTAATGTGCATTCCCACGCGTCAAATGCAGACTACGGGTACAAATATTAATTTAAAAGACCCAGACTCTTTTGATACGTTAGTAACAAATCGCGCAAATAGTTTAGCCTATACGGTTACCTGAAAAGAAGCACCTTCATTTTCAAATATCAGATGTTTTTATATTAAAACAAGAAACACAACCGGGGTTTCATGCGAAAAAGATACAAACAGTTTCTAGCCATGAGTGTTTCTACTACATTAAAATTGTCTATTGTTGCTATAACTTTCCAGTTATTGCATGCATCGCTAGCAGCCCTAAAAAGACGATAGATATCCGTATCTATAGAATTTATAAAAATGCATGCGTAACTACTCAGTATTCTTATAATTATGCTAATGTTTGATGGAGGTGGTAGACGTGCTTCACTAGGAACGTTAAGAAACCATAAAGCGGATTGAGAGGCCAGCTTTTGCACATTAAATGCAAATAGAGATCAACTTGCGTGCTTTGGACGTATACTAGCTACCCACACAATAGAAGGAATATTGCCCACCCCTCCCTCTACTATCCTCCAGTTGGTTGCAAGTTCGACAATCGGATTTTATTGCAATAGGTATTTACAGCCATGGAACGATCACGTGCTTCACTAATTTATAGTTCTGATTATTTAATTCAATGATTTACTCAAGAAACGTTACCTTGGTGTCGAGTCCCCTTACAGCTAAAACGATGACGTTCTCGTGTAACTGTAACTATAACTTCAATCAAATTCATTGGCCTAATTATTTGATCAGCGAAGAATTGAAATTTCTCTTTAATGTGTATGCCTAATGCTGTCGACCTAGATAAAAGTAACAGCTAAATGCACGAGATCCTATAATTTTATACAAAGAAACCACACGCGCGCATGCACACACGCACACGCACACGCCCGCCACGCCACGCACACGCACCCCTATATATATATATATATGGGGTGCGTGTGCGTGGCGTATATATATATATAAATTATAGATATATATATATATATATATGTAAACCGTTAGTTCGTTTATGGCTTGTCGCCAACATTGGTTTCATTGACGTCGGTCTGTGCATGGTTACTGGTTATGGGTGGACCAAAGCGAAACCCAACAGAGATCAAGATTTCTGCGCATAATCAGTGAAACAGAATTACATGATTAATTTAACAGCTGCTACGGTTGCTGATAATTTGCCGATTATACATATACTAGGCATTCGGGGTTCGGTTATATTCTACTCACGAAGAATGTATGTAAGACTAAGTAATTTGTCATCGTTGTTCTTTTAGCGAGCTCACAGAAGTGTGGTCGCTATGCCGCTGTTTTACAGGCTGGACTGCCTACCGAAAGTTAAATATGAGGCATATCTTGGCATGAGCTCTCAGCGTGAGCCGATGATATACGAACTCATGCGCAACCATTCGTAAGAAAACGTTAACAATCAAATATAACTACCCGCGTCGAACTTGCAATAGCTGGGAATCAGGGCGGTGCTACAAACCACGGTCAAGCATAACGGATAAAACGCACTTACACAGCCAAGCGTGAATATAAGCAGGGGTTCCATTAGTCCAGCAAATCACATTGACAGAGTCTCTGGTCCTGGGTTACCACCCATACGCATATCTAAAGAAAATTAGTGCTGAACGTAATTAAGACAGCAACAACTATTATATAACCTGACCGTAACAATAGTCTTTCGTCGCGCTATTCCAATGAATGCGTCGGATCGTTGCTCCTTAGCTGAATCCCTGCTCAGAAAAAAGTGTTTATACCAACTGGAAATGAACCAAAAATGCAAAACATTTCAGGTTGCGCATAATGAACCATAACATTCGAAGCTTCGGGCTAGCTGTATTGATTGTGCTCATCTCAAAAATGCCATAGCACGGCGACAGCGAGACTCGCTCGCTCGCGTCTATATATATATACATCTGTGTGTGCCTGCGCGCGCGCGCGCGGCGCGCGTGCGTGTGTGTGGTGTGTTGTGTGTGTGTGTTGTGTGTGTGTGTGTTGTGGTGTGGGTGTGTGTGTGTGTGTGTGTGTGCGTGTGTGTGTGTGCGCGTGTGTGTGTGTGTGTGTGTGTGGTGTGTTGTGCGCGCGCGTGCGTGGTGCGCGCACGTGTGTGGTGTGTGTGTGTGTGTGTGTGTGGCGCGCGTGTGTGATGTGTGTTGCGTGTATGCGTGTGCGTGCGTGTGCTGCGTGCGTGCGTGCGTGCGTGCGTGTGTGTGTATCGATGTCGGTATCGTTTTCTAAAAGGGGAAATTTGGGCACAATACAGATGCAACAATAGTACTCCAGCATGCTGACAGAATCACATATACTGCAGTATATGCAATAGCTTGCCAGCAATTCAGTTAGATATTTTATTTTTCGGTTGCCACCGGCGTGCAAGCATCCATTGATCTTGCAGGCATTGACGTCGATGGTAAGTTGGCGATATGAGAGCCCATGTGTAGCCATTGTGAGCCATGGAGCCCCTGTGTTAGTACAGTTGTAGTAGCGACATGGCCGGCTTGTTACAGAAACGTATCCCCGCTACGCGTGGAAGGAACTACAACCTTATTAACATTAACTGTAAGAATCTCCACTTATGGAGTTATAGCTAATAAAATAAATAGATTATATGGTGCTCAAACCATCACCGGCGACTGTGACGTAACATGTGATAGTGGTATCCGCCTTCTATACGTATTTTCCTGTATTCCCGAATTTCTCGGCTAACTTATTCGTATCTTGGGCTCCGGTCACTATGCAACTTTAATCAGAAATTTCGAGACCAATTGCATATTTAAAATACATAGGCTTATGTGCTAGTACGTACTGTGTTCAGACGAGTAGGCCTACGCTTCACTCCCGCAAAATTCATTCTTTTCACTTTCGTTTAGCTCTTTCACGTATTATTAATCTGAGCATGTTATATATAGACATATCGTGTGTTTCGTGATTCGTGCATTTCAGATGACAGTATTCACCTTTACTGTATAATAAGGAACACATATCTTAACCCGTTAAATAATATATAACTTTAATCTACGACACAGAGTCGTGCAGTGATCTAGCGAGACGAACTTGAGCGATTTATATCTAATTACATGCCAACTATTAAGCGTATGCACCGCCTGACCAGATTTGATAAGAATCAAGCGGCGTGTTACCAAACTCTAGGACCAAATAGTTAATTAAGGAGTAAAATAGCGAGTAACTTTTATTAGTACGAGGAAAACAACCTAAAGCAGATAGATGTTTGAGTGTCATTTGAACCCGTCCAATAGGCCAACACATCGGTATATCTTGTGAATAGATATAACATGCATGCTATAATAAGGCATAAGCTAAATAAATGGTGTGCGTGCGTGATTGCATACCGGGTACACGTGCGTAAGCGGTAAGCGCTGAGCGTCTTTTGCGTGTGTGATTGCGTGTATGTATCCGTACGTACGCGTAGTGAATGAGTGTGTGTGTGTGTGTGGTGTGCGTGTGCGTGTGCGTGTGCGTGTGCGTGTACGTGTGCGTGTGCGTGTGCGTGTACGTTGCGTGTGTGTGTGTGTGTGGTGTGTGTGTGTGTTGTGTTGGGTTGTGTGGTGTAGTGTGTGTGTGTGTGTGTGTGTGTGTGTGTGTGTGTGTGTGTGTGTGTGTGTGTGTGTGTGTGTGTGTGTGTGTGTGTGTGTGTGTGTGTGTGTGTGTGTGTGTGTGTGTGTGTGTGTGTGTGTGTGCAGAGATGTACGTTCGAAATTAAAAGAAGCCACTGCGCCGAATTTTCTCCGATCAAAAAATGAGCCTAAAGTAAGTCCCGTTAGTTCATTTGTTACCATCAAACTGATCAGGTCGATTGTTGCTGTGGTCGAACGATTTTTGAATCATGTTGCACGCACTGGTGGGATGATTCATCTATATATCAATAATCGATACGGTATACGTATCAACACTCTACTGACTACAATCCATATCAAGTAGTAGCGTAGTTTCGTCTAAAATCAAGAGAAACATAACACAATTCGTAATCCCACAACAGTTGTTCACATAAGTGCTTCACGATACTGATTTGTAAGCGTTCACATGATTGACAGAGTTCCGGTTGAGTGTACAGTTTGCTAGATAGTCGAAACTTGAAAGTATCGCGATACGTATCGTATTAGTAAAGGCTATATCGTGTAACGGTTCATATCGTGAGGTACCCGTATCGTCGCACCCCTGGTTGCATGTTTACATACTGCCGCGATTAGATTTTAATGTGTTCTTCATACAGTTATATACCAGTTCTTGTTAGTATAGGGACCATAGACGCGAAATCAGTCGATTTAAACGTTGTCGCTCAAAATGCACTGCGGAAACTCCTGTGACTCGTGTGAATAGTGGCACATCACTGACGATAAACTATTAAAAAAGACGAACATGTGCGGTTTGAACCTGATATAACGGCACATCCTGCACGGGACACCTAGTTAGTTGCAGAATCGAACCGTTGCAATGCCAACAATATATCTAGCGGTTGTGGATTATGAAAACGTGACCGATGTGATGTTTTAGTCACGCGAAGAAAGCTGACATATAATTTCCATATTCCACTGTTAGCATTCGTCCTATCTAAAATAACACGTTGATAGAAACTAAAGAAAACATGAAGGGCGGTTAGACCTAAAGTGTTACAGAATATAAAAGTTTCTATTTAACGCAGGCACGTTGTCATTGAATGTAGCAGGGATGTGACATCATTGAGCAGTGAAATGAGATGAAGCGTGAAATAGCTGCTATGACACGCCGCACAAGCTTTCAGCGTAAAATTCACTGTTCTTCACTAAAATCTACTAGTGAAGTTAGCCGGAGTCTAAGAGACTTAGCTAAAACCTAGACTCAAAGTCCTACAACCCCGAAAAACGAAAGACGCCAAGTGCTGTCGTGTTCTTACGCCGCAGCGATAACAATTTTCATCGTCATCTTTTTTGTCGCTATCGTCATCGCCGGCATTTTTCGTCAATGTCATTTCTCGTTGTCGTCGTCATTTTCAATCGGCGTCGTTGACATTTTTCGATGGCGTTACTGATGGGATTTAGTCGATGTCCTCATTGTTTTTGGACGGTGTTGCCGTAATTTTTTTTAGCGTCTTTGCCTAGTTTCTGCACTGCGATCATGTCTTCGCTTTCCGGCGCGAGAAGTGATGGCTGCGAAAGGCCAACGAGAAATGTCGAGGACGACGATGACAACGAGAAACGTATCCCCGTAGCCACCAGAAATCGTGACGGTGCCGGCAGTGAAGCACGATGCCACTCGGTGGTATCAGTAGCGATAGTTCTAGCAATCTTATCTCAGTCAGAGATCTCCGTGCATTCCCAGCTATAAACCAGAGAAAAACCCAGTAAGACAGCCATGTTGCTATGGCAGCCAGAGAGAGGTTCTCGGAAGTGCCGTCTTGTAGGAATGTCATATTAAGAGAAATAATTTTTTATTGAGTTTTATCAAATTCAACATGCGTATCCAGGGTGTCAATATACGCTTGCAGTGTGTCCACAAATCCAAAGACATTTCACAACAATGAACATTTACGCGGATCAATTCCTAACTGTGTAGAATCAAGTTTAGAACTTACCTATCGATCAATTTTGGCCTATCAATTTGGATTTACGAATAATGGTTTTGACAGACAGTTCGCCCTGCCGGTCAGGTAAAATGGACAGAAGACAAACAGACAGAAATATAGACAGACAGACAGACAGACTGACAAGCAGGCAGACAGCCAGCCAAACAGGCAGGCAGACAGACAGACAGACAGACAGACAGACCGACAGACAGACAGACAGACAGACAGGCAGGCAGGCAGACAGACGGACAGAGTGACAGGCAGGCAGGTAGGCAGGCAGACAGACAGACAGACAGGCAGGCAGGCAGGCAGCCAGACAGACAGACAGACAGACAGACAGACAGACAGACAGACAGACAGACAGACAGACAAACAGACAGACAGACAGACAGACAGACAGACAGACAGAAAGAGAGACAGGCAGGCAGGCAGGCAGGCAGACAGACAGACAGACAGACAGACAGACAGACAGGCAGGCAGGCAGACAGGCTCACCACAATTGTTACACATGGCGCACTGATATGACATAGGGCTTGCCACACCTGCTGCACTGATATGTCACCGGGCTTGTCACACCTGCTGCACTGATATGTCACCGGGCTTGTCACACCTGCTGCACTGATATGTCGCCACGCTTGCCACACCTGATCTGCAATATCACAAAGATTGTCACACTTGTTATACTGAGATGTTCCTGAACATGTCCCACATGCCCAATGTGACACTAATCTTGTCACACATGCTGTACTGAGATGTCACCGAGCTCGTCACACCTGCTGTACTATAGTGTCATTGAGCTAGTGAAACCTGTTGTAATGAGATGTCACCAAAATAGTCCCATTTATTGTACCGAGATATCACCTAGCTTGTGACACCTGTATTACTGAGATGTCTTCAAGCGTGTCACACGTGGTGTATCTAGTTATCTTCAAGCGTGTCACACGTGGTGTAGTTAGTTGTCTTCAAGCGTGTCACACGTGGTGTATCTAGTTATCTTCAAGCGTGTCACACGTGGTGTAGCTAGTTGTCTTCAAGCGTGTCACACGTG